TTTTCAAGGTCATCGTATATCCGGTTATACCGGAAGTTGATACTAACTTTCTTATTTTAAATTGAACCCCCTATATATTATTGCAAAAAAAATAGGGGTTTCCATTTAAAAATTTCGAGTTTTCCACATATTCTGAACTTCATATTCGATAAAATTTTGTTGATCACCATGTATAAAAACTGGAAAATTTTTATGTCAAATTCGATAAAGTAAGTCTTTCTCTACAAAATTTCCAATTTGCACAAAAAAAAATAAATCGGGAAAACTAAATTTTTCTGACAGTGTGCATCTGCCAAATTTTGTTTAAAAATCGAAATATCTCGGAAACGGTCAATCCTAAGTATGGAGTGTGCTATATGTTTTCAACTTAAAAATGGATGATGTTTCCAAAAATGTAATAATATACAGGGGGTTCCATTTAAAATAAGAAAGGTAGTATCGACTTCCGATGTAACCGGAGGTACGATGACCTTGAAAATATTTTAACTTGGTGGGCACCACGGTCCGTATCACACCATCACAATTTCAAAAAAATCCTTAGAGCGGTTTCCCAGATATCCATCGATGGCGTTCAAGGTGGTACACTCTGTAGACACACTTTTTTTCAAGGACTTCAGTATAAACCAGCCATATCTAAGAATAAAAAAATCTTCTCTAAACATGTTGGCTGGTTATTGGAAAAATGTGTTTTGACTTCCTCGCGACAACCAGTGGAAAAGGACTGAAAACAAAAACAAAACTCGAACAAAATGTAGCCCGCTTGATGGAAACAAGAGTTTTGGGTTTGTTTCAGTTTTGTTTTTGTTTTATTCTAGAAAACGCAAACAAAACATAAACTCAACTGTCCGTTTAGTGAAAAATAAAAGCTTTAAAGTAAGTAAGTAGGAAAAGATTAATAAAGAGTAGGCACGTTTTTTAAAGTACAGAAGAGACTATGATTGTTTGAAATAGTCGTCAGTACGACATACAGTTTTTTATATTTTTTTGACAACTATGACTAAAAAGTAGGTATAATCATATATCGCTGAATTCGTCTTTACAAGGGCTATCTATTTATGCTATAAAATATAAAGCGTCCTATTAAAAAAAATGTCGGTAATGTTATAGGCCTGTCAAACATATATACCCGTTTAAATCAAGTCCAAGATATACTAAAATACATTTAAACATTAATATCGTTTAACATTAGACTTACGCCTCGTTTAAAAGCTAAAACATTCCTCCAGTAGTCCTAGTAAATAGTATCAGATCATCCTTTGTATTATTTATCAAATAATGTCGACAGCCAAGTGGAAAATGTAGACAAATTCGCCTGCTCGGCGTAAAATGAAATCAGCAGTCTGAATACATCACATTATCCTCGATATTCGAATCCCGACACAAGAATTTATTGTGTTCACGGTTCAGCGGAAGAGAAACAGAATGTTTGTATACTTATTAGAGGAAATTTAGGAAACAATAAGTTCAGGAATTTAATAGAAACAAAAGCCCTTCGTCACTCTCAATAAGTTCCACAAGTATAATTCTATTTATTATAACGGCTCCGAGGACCTAATACCTTCACAATGAGGGACCTGACCTGGAAAGGGGTGATTACAAGAATTAATTCTGCGATGTTCAAAAACGTTTTGTACATCTTTCTTAGGATACATCTTTAAACAATAATGTCCTGTCATATATTTCCACTGACTGGCTGGGATTATGAGTGAATGGGGTTAAGTAAATTTTAAATAGCAATATTTACATTAACTGACTTATTAGTTAAAGTTACTCCTTGCAATGGGATGATTCGGATTTTAACAGAATATGAAATAATCTGACATAAAACTTACCTGTATTGTTCGATTTATATATAAAGTCATTATTTAACAGAAAATTAACAAAAATAAATAAAATTAAGTCGAATTTGGCGAACAACTATGTGTGACGTGAAACTGTGCCGTCCTTTTTTTTTACTTAAAAAAAAATATGTAATAACGTCCATAGTCTAGTACACCACAAAATGATAATAAATGACTTTAATTATTTTTTTTCTAAATCAAGTAAAAGTACCATCTTATTTTTATGTATGACAGTGACATACACAAGGAAACTAGATTGTAGGATCAGGACAAATAAAATAAATAGAAATAAATAAACAAAAAATTGAAAGTTGTGCTAATTTTTCTTTCTTTTTTCGTTTTTTTATATATATTTGAAGCAACTGTAGTGATTTAAATAAAATGTTTATTAAAATGATGTAGCTTTATTAGAATCTGATGTACAATCTGTACAATCAAAGGAAATGATGAAATGTTTTACTATCGCCCAAATTTGATTCAAATTATTAAGACTGCTTAAGAAAAGCAAACGATAAAACAAAAACGTAAACAACCAGTACCTAAGAAAATAAGTAAGAACAGACCCGTATAGATAGGAGCTTTTCGACTTATTTTTGGATCGGAAATATTCCCTTGTGAGATGGCACATGTTTCTTCAAACATCATGTATACAGAAATCTTTTCAAAAAGTATCTAATTTTCAAATTATTGTGATGACCAATAGAAACATGTCTTTATTTGATGCTACTTTTTACCTGTTTTTTATCTAAAAAAATATTCCTGCGCAAATATTATCTACATGACATTATAAAAGTTCTACACATGTACAGGGTGATTCACTATATTTTGCCCCCCCCCCATTAATGTTTTTGTTTTTAGAGTTATAAAAACATGTGAAATACAAAAGTTGCACTAATTAGGCCGCGAAAGGCCTAATTACTCATGGACAAAGTTATATGGTAGGCCATGACAGTGACAGGTAATGTCATGACAACATTGTTATTGTTTAACAGTTTTTGTTATCATTTAATTAAAATGGGTTACACAGAGTGGAAAATTGAAATATTATAAGAATTAAAATAGAGTAAAGTTCTTCTCCATACTCTATTTTAATTCCAAATAATATATCAATTTTCTACTTACGTGTAACCCATTTTAATTAAATAATAACAGTTAACATCCACTGTCATTTTGTTCGGACTTCATTTGTTTTTCTACTATCATTTTCGAAAATTCATAGAAAATCGTGCAACTTCTGTATTTCACATTTTTTATAACTAAAAAAGATAATGTGAAATATAGTGAATCATCATGTACTTACTATTTTGGCAGTAAAATACCGAAGTGTTTCCAGATACTTTTCAATTCATCTAATTAATTGCTTCGATTCATACACCTACATCTTAACGTAGGTACAAAATTTATACCAACCAATATCCACCTCTGAATACAGTGTTCTGGTACCGTAAATTGAAAGGCTGATTTTTCTTCTGTTTTTGAAACATTAATGTAAAAAAAATTGGTGTAGGTAAGTTTTTAAGGGTGTTAAATACGTTGATGTTATTAGTTTTTGACTATCTGCTAGAATTCGCTAGCTACGCCTTTCCTTTCACCTTTCCCAGTGACACCCCATCACACAATTTTTTGGAGACTTTTTTCAGTGTATTTCATTTATTGCAATGTAAAATATAATTTTACATAAAAATGGTACTCTTATTTCCACATTTCAAAATTACCTATTCGAAAGTCAACTAGCTTCTACTCCTTAATATATAAAGGGTGTCTGGAAATGAATGAACCGATGGCTTTTGGGTGAAAAACCCATTTAGATCAAGGGTATCTTGAATACAATTTTACTACTAAAAAGTTAATGTTAGCAAATATGTGGCTAAACTTTGATTTGTAAATCGTATTCGGCGCTTATAATCTCAAAAACAAAAGACGATAAACTCATGGTCCAACGAAAAATATTCCTATACTTGGGTCATCTACGAGTTGAATTTATGGTACCTTTTTCCAAAACAATCTGTAGAGTTACTTTTCGAAATTAATTTGATGGATTCTATTTCTTTATAATTATTTTAAGAAAATAAGTTCCATGAACATAATGTTCTGAACTACTCATTTTTCCTGATAAAGGTTGTTTATAAATACGTTTTGTCCTAATATAACTAACTAAAATTGGAACATGTGTTGTGGCATTATTAAGAATTTCATTTCAAAATTTCCAATTCAGCCCTATATGTAGTAAATTTAAAATATTTTAGTTTATTGTAATGGCAATATGCAAGTGTCGGCATCTTTGTTTTCGCATTTTTATGAACAATTTCTTCCGTTTTGTCAGATTCATCTACCAAACTAACAGATGTAAACAAGGAGCACCTAGAATTTGTTACAATAAAATAATATCTACTTCTAAATTAAATTATTCTCTTCCCTTAAAACACAAAAAATGTGAAATCATTGGATTTACAGAATCCTTCCTAAAAAATTTGTGCAGAAGCACTAATAGTTATGCCACTCCATCTTGCATCAACAGAAATTTAATGATTTTCCTCATTTTTTGCTTAGTGATATCGTACGTATAAAATAACATTTCAAATTAAACAAAAAAAATGCCAGTTTAATTCTTTCATCAAAAAGATTATAAAAACACAATATTTCCATTTTCTTGGCCAGTTGAAGGAAATTACCCCTAATATCAACCATTGGAGGAGATAAAATGGGACACATAATCAGTCCAGAACTTCGACGTCATTAATTATTTTGAAAATTCGATGAGTCCTTTTCATTCCTACTATTATTCCTATTTACTCAACAAACGAGGATTATAGTATATTACTTTCTTTATTTTGTCTAATTTAAAATTTAAATTCTAGGATTTAGAGTCTTCATCCAATACTAATTGACAATGTTGTACACAAATTCATTAATTTTTTTCTTTAAACTGACCTAAGGAATTGCCACCTTTATTATCAAAACATTCCCAAGGACCTTTGTTCGGAAAAGTGACCATATTTGGCGGGATAAGGACCTACCTTATTTAATAAAAGGGATAACCGTTGTATTTACTATGATCTGAAAGAGTTCAAAATTACATTTTCCGCCATACCCAATCTAGCGTAACAAAACGCAATAAAACAAAGCAATATAGAACGCATCCCTCAAAGCGGACGATACCTTGACGTGAGGGGTTGCCCCCCGGCGGACATCCTCCTGCTCATCCCAAACGAGTGCACCTTCTCGGCGAGGCTCTCCAGCGTGTTCGGGTAGCTGCGCTCGTAGGGCTGAAAGTGCTGCATGCTGGACTTGGGCTGTTCGGTGATGACGGGGGGCGGGGGTTGGTAGCCCCAGTTGGTGTCGGGAGGACGGCTGTTGTAATACAGATCCAGGCCGTTCGTGTCCGCCTGCTGGCCAGCTGAATGACGAGAGTCCAGCGAGGATAGGCCCAGGCCTAATCGAGACCGGGACTCGCTCATTTCTCGGCCGTCGCCGGTGTGCCTCTGTCTCATTGATTCCCTGAAATTGAAAACGTCTTAAAGTTTCCACAATCTCTGTTGGATAGGGCGTTTTGTTAGGAATGGAAGATAGCTGTGGCTTAACGAAATGATGCTCTTTTTACTTGATTTTAAAATTATTTAAAAAATAAAATAAAAATCTTATCAGAAGACTCATAATAACAGTTTTTGATGCCAAACTGTAAATAGGCAGAAGATATCTAGCTTAAAGTACAAGCCAGTAGATAATAATTTTCTACAAAAAAAATGATAATTGATTTATCTAAATATTATTATGTCTACTTATATTCTAACATCACAATACACAATTATTCAAATCGAAAATTATAGATACTTATAGTTTTAGGGCGAAAAGAATGGTGCCAATTTTGGGTTTTTTGGTATCCTGACTATAAAATTTTTTTCTGTAAATTGAGCCGTTTCAGAAAAACAGAACGTGTGTACTAGAAGGGAAGAGTGACTCCCGCAGGAAGAATATTTCCTGTATATTCTTATAGACTTAGACAACGCAGGTCCAGAAGCCATTCCTGGTTACTGTTGTCAATACAAAAATGGACTTAGAATGATAGGATGTTGTGCGCAAGTCATGACAGTTATTTGGTATTTAGAACATGGGCAATACCAAGAGACAATAAGACAACTCGCCGAAGATTTATCGCTTTGCAAGTGTATTCCGATGAAGATAACTAATAAAAAAAATACGAGGTATCCATTAGAGCGCTATTAAATGATATTAAACGTCTTAGACTTTAGGGCACCATGGGTGGTAATACTCTATGGCAAAAATACTTTTTTGAAATATTTGAAAAATCATGATGAACTGGACCAAACTGAGGTCAGATTCGGTTTTTTGGACCAAAATACATGGAAATACCATGGTCTAGTGTCTAGTCCGTTGTGTATAACTTTTTTCATTTGTGTGTCAGTGTAATTTTTGAACTTCAGCAGTTTTGAAAACCAATATCTTAGAAACCGCTTAATTTTGAGGATTATGACTATAACCTTTTTTGTTTGCCAGACCAAGCACTACAACTTTTACACAAACTTTTCAAACCTGGATGTTGTGGGCCTAAAGACCCATAAGGCGTTGGCACCAAATAGTATTTACTTTTAGAAAATAACTTTGCTTTCTCTAATTTTTTAATTAGAGAATATAAGAACTCCGGTAACCTACATTCATTTATTAAACTTTTTCCGTTTTGGTAAAGCCTAAGCGTGAGTTATAGTTCATTGCTACAAAATCTGTCATTTACTGTCTGCAGAAGAAGCTCTGGACTGGATCTCCTGATACGTACTTATGTTTGTTATGTGTACGGATCCCTAGCGTTTTGGTGTATGGTTTGATCGTCAACACTTTAATGCATCAAGCACGGACCATTTGTGAGCCAGAACATTTGGAGAAGGAACTGCATCATTACGACCAACTCTCAGAGAACATAGATGCCAACAGAAATATTGACCAAGTCACAGTAGGATACTTATCTATCCTACATACAAGGATGTAATGATAGGCGGCCTCTTAAGAAAACACGGTATTAATACCATCTACAAAGAAATAAGAAAGCCTCAATTGAACGTACACTAAGATCTCGGTATATGTACATAGCATCCCATGTATTTGTGGTAAAGGATACATTGCGTAAACAGAGAGGCGCGTTTGTACGATGCTAAAGGAATACAACAAACAAATCAGTAATTGTGGAGCAAAGGACAGAAACAGAGCATTCGTCAGATTTAATCTATACTAAAACTCTACTAGGAGAGATGAGATTTTAGCCAAGACTTTACAGAAATGCAATAGAGACATCGAAATTATCTCAACCGAGACAAAGATTTAGATCTGTCTAAAATTTCGAAACGTGTCAATTCATCAAGTCATTATCAAATCTAGATTTTGATTATAAAATTGGTGAAACTTTTTTAAATAGAGTTACGCAATTTACTGACCTTGGTGTTACTTTCGATACCAGATTATCGTTTGACGACCACATTAGTTTAGTAAACAAATCTGCTTATAAGAATTTAGGCTTTATTTTGCGTAATTCTAAGGACTTTCAGAACGTAAAGGTTCTAAATACAGGGTGGTCCGAACTTTACGCAGGAAACTTCGAGGGCAGATAGATCTCTTTAAAATAATATGTGTTTGCCTTTTAAACATAGGTCTGGAACGGCACCGTTTTAGAGATACAGGGTGTTGAATTTGTCAAAAAAAATTGATTTTTTGTTTATATCTCCGGAATCTATTAACCGATCTCAATAAAATTTGGTACATATAATGTATGATAGTAGGCCTTATATTCCCTGAAATATGAGCTTTAAAGGTTCAACAAGTAGTGTACAACTGGACAGGGGTCACCCCTTTTTTACAAAAAAATCTACGCCACTACATTTTTTACATGTCATTGTAACTGATTTATATTTTAATGCACGAAACACTTAAAAAAGGTGACTTTAATTTTTTCCCTAAGATTCGCCGTTCTCAAGTTATTCATACCAATACAATCCCCTTGTGGCAGACACTTCTAACGATAATATTACAAGAATATTTGTTTATGTTTAAAAGTAAGCACACCAACAAAATTATTTACACTCCTTTCTACACCACCTGTGAGGTAGTATGCGATATAAACAAAAAAATTTTTTTTTAAACCTCAACACCCTGTATCTCTAAAACGGGGCCGTTCCAGACCTATGTTTGTAAGGCAAACACATATTATTTTAAAGAGCTCTATCTACCCTCGAAGTTTCCTGCATAAAGTTCGGACCACCCTGTATATTGTATGCAGCATTTGTGCGTTGCAAACTTGAATATGCATCGGTTATTTGGAGTCCCATTTGTTGGTTCCTATATGTATTGTTTTGTATGTTTCTAGTATTTTTAATGATATTGTTAGTCTGTAACTATTTTATATTATTATTATATTATATATATAGTAAGTGATCTCAGCGTACTAATTTATGTTATTTTCCTTTTCTTTTGACGTGTGTAAACACTCTGGTGTGTATTGACATGAATTGAAATAAATAAATAAATAAATAAATATTTATAATATTCAATTAGAGAAAGTACAACGGAGATTTTTAAAGACTATTCATTTTATTAGTTACAGATTTTATCCTCTTCTGGTACACCTCAAGATTTATTGCTTTCTTGTTTTAATTTTAATAGTCTCTGTCGTAGGCGCATTATGCTTTCAATTATATTCCTTTTTAAAATCATAAATAACACATTAAATGCAGACTCGTTACTCTCAAGGATTTTATATCATTTTCCTAGACTTAATTCTAGATTTCACTCTGTTTTACAACCTACACATCGTACCAATTTACTAATAACATCTCCCCTATATCAAATGATTTCCAATTACCAAAAGTATGAAGATCGACTTGATATATTTTTTCATTGTATGAATGACATAAAAAAATTGTTTGTCTAGTAAATGTAATCCTTATCTTGTATTTGTTAGCTTATTTGCTTTATTTGTCTGTTATTGTTTATCCTTAGGTTCTTTGTCTGGATTTTATATTTTGATTGTTCTATGTTATGTAGTATTTATATTTTTTATTTAATGTTAGTTTGTCTTTTTCTTTTAAAATTTAGTTAAGGTTTTCTGTTTTACCTTATCCTGTAACTGGGACTTGTCCCGTTGGATATTGTAACTTCTAAATAAATAAATCCGGATCGTCAACTGGTATGTCATGGGTCAGTACGAACTGTAAATATAAATACGTAACAAAGAACTTAATTTTCAATTTCAGAGTTTGTACTTCTAAAGAGAGCAATACGTCTCTCGAAACATCAAGATGTCTTCACCGGCGACTGAGCAACCAATACAGAAATGGACATAATTTGTAGTTTCCTTGTGCCAATTTTTCTAATTTTTGATACATTCAAATGCTTAAAACATGATTTCTTACATTTTTATCTAAATTAAAATATCCTGTCACAATATTGTTTCCATAGAAGAAACAATCTGCGGTGGAGCGTCAATCAAATAAAAAATCAATCAAAATTGGCGAAAAATACGAGGTATTTCAATACTAAAATATCTGTTTTTGTATTAAAATTTTTAATTCTCTTGTTTCTAAATTCTGCTGGAATTTCAAATCTTTAATGTTTCAGTTTAACATACGGTGAGATAAAAAAATCTTTTTTTATTATTTTACTCAAAATTAAGCATTATTCTTTATTCAAATTGTTCAGAAATTTGAACTTTAAACCATTTCAATAATTTCCAAGGATATTTGACATAGAATAGGTGAAGAATTTTGATCAATAAATGGGTAAATCGAGTGAAATGATTATGTTAAGCAATGATAGAAGTACTGAAGCTCTTCGGTCACTAAGTGTTTAATACCTTCAATTTTTCTACCCAACTGAATATTTGCAAAATATCTAAAAAAAGCGCTAAATTTAAAATGTCTCGAATTTATTTTCAATGGAATTGTGGCGCAGTTCAATAAATTCAGAATATTTTTAGGACTGTTTACTCGCATCACAAATGAAACGTAATTTTTTAGAAATCAAACAATTGATTAAAAGTCCAAAACAGTATTAGCGTTGAAATTTTATTTTATTTTTTGGTAATCAAATGCATAGCCAATATGAATCCAAAAAAGTATCGCTAATGACTTCTGACCTATTCATTTGCAATTATATTTCTAAGAACATTTTGGTACTTTTTTTGGTTGTTTTACGTCGGCCTATTTCTGCTACTGTGACTAAACATCGATGCCAGGAGACGAGCAACCCCCTAATACAGTTTAGACAAGAGACCAACGGTTTTACATCCTTTCCAAAGGATGGATGGTATGTCTTGCTATACAAACCTCGCCTAACTAACTTCCATGAATACACCGACATATAGGTCACAAGAAGGTGGACAAGCATCGCGAACCTTCCCGGATCCGAGTACCCATCCAAGTACTAACCGCAATCAGCATTACTTGACTTTTCACATCAATGAATGCCAAGTCGCTAGGTCACATTCGCCCTGTTTA